ATGGTATGGATTTTAAAGAACGATCTGATATTAATAAGTCTGATATGTTGACAGTTGTGGTTGAAATATCCGTTTGCAATCATATAAAAGTAATATTATTTCCTAATTAATGATAACTAAATTATTTAATATTCCATTTTTATAAATTATTTATATTTATATAATGTAGACAATAAGAGTAGCAAATGAAATTTATGGTACCACTTTGAGGCATATATTTAGTGTTGTTGCACAGAGTTGGTATTATCAACTAACTGATTTCTTTGATGTTGTGGATTATCCTGTTGCTGGATATGAATCGCCTCATGTAGTCACTGAACTTCATCAGCATATTAGTGATTGTATCATTGATTATAGGTAAGTAATTTGTTTAATTATATTTAAATGTAATTCATTATTATACCATTTAAATTTTACAGGCCACTCCATTTACCATACCAGTGTGTACTAACAATTGGTAATTTTAGCTTATCGAGTAATATTGTTGCAAAATCTAAAGCATCAACTCTTCAAATTGTATCTGAGGATGTAGCTTTTTTTATTTCTGCTCGTTTGTCTAAATCAGAAAATTTAGATTTAGTATCTCATTATATTTGTGTAATGGACTTGGGCGTTTTTGAACTTTCTTTAAAGCTTAGCAAAAGCTCTAAACAGTCAAATGATTTGGCACAGCCTGAAGTGGACTTAAGAATGGCTGTAAATGTTATACATATAAGAACATGTGCAGACTCTGCATTTGCTTTTTGCCGTATACTCAGTTATTTGGCTTCTGATGGTGATAAATGTTCTGTAGAAGAACAAGTAACTGAATTTGAAGGAGTTGACCAAGAAGATCCTGTTTTATTAGATCAAGCTGACTCTGACAACAATTCATTATCAAGTCTTATAATGGAAGCTATGCATGAAGAAACTACGAGTAAAAAAAAATCTAAAAATCCAGAAGATTTAGTTAAAAAACAAAGCTCAAATCAAACTGATAAAGGGATTGAAGTATTTTATTTTCCTGATGAAACCAATAAAATAGTCACCCCATTGGATAATGAACCACCATTGCAATATGAAGTAGAAGATGACGTTATTGAAAAAGAATTTTGCTTTGTTGAACACGAAGTGGGTTCAGGAAAAATGGTATGATTTTAAATTTATCATAAAATATACCCAATTCTGAATTATTAATTTTTCATTAATTGTAATTAGCCTCAAAGTAGCATACCAGAAGTGCGTATGTTGACAGACACACAATTACGTTTGGTTAACAACTATTTTAAAGCTCCTGTTGGAAAAATTGATATGCTGCAGGCTCCTAAAGACTATCCAATGCCAGTAATTAAATATACGTTGCGAGAAATGACTCTAATTTGGCATATTTATGGTGGAACCGATTTTAGTACTAAAACTATTCATAATGAACTAACCAAACATGTCACTATAGTATCAGAAACGTAAGTACATGTAATTATATATTAGTAAATTAAACAAAAATTAAGTTATTGTATTAATAAATGGTCGGTATTTTGTTAAGGAATTCTTGTCCAACTTCACCAAATACAAGGCCTTCCCTTTCTCGGTATTATTCTCAAACTAATATAAATTCACAGGTAAATAATAAAAATTTTTAAATTATGATGAAAATGATAATTTTTAATCCTCTTTTTATTAGAAAAATCCTACTTCAAAAAAAGGATCCAATATATCTCAAGCCAGGACAAGGTTTTGTTGTAGTGTTTTACCTACTAGTTGGCAGGCAAAAGGTGGTACTGGAAGACAACATCATGTATTAATGCAACTCCAATTAAACAAGGTATGTTTTCATATTGTATGTACTATAATTTTATTAATATATATCATTTTAACAATGTTACTATTAGGTACGATTCCAGCATGAAATTTATCCATCCCATACCAAGCAAGCAATGAGGCAAGTAATTCTGATTCAAGACTTAGAAATTCGTGACAAACTTGCATCATCTAACATCAATAAATTCTTATATCTTTATTCAAGTGAAGCAATGCCTAAACAACAGGATGCCAATATGGTAAGAAAAATAGATGATTTTTTTTTTGCAAACAATTATTTAAATAAAAATGTTAACAGTTTGTTGCCAAAGCCGCTCATACAAGACCTGATTCCAATCTAAAGGTTCAAGAATGTTGTGTCAAAGTGTCCATGTTACCATTAAGACTTAATATTGATCAAGATTCATTGATATTCTTAATTTCATTTGTAAATCAATTTAATGCACTTGGCCAAAAAATCAAAGATGGTATTATAATTTTTCTATATTTTATTGAATTTTATTTATTTTTTATTTTTAAAACTGTGTCCTTTGTAGAAATATTGGCTGAAAAGAAAATACCCACAAAATCAGAAGAACCAATTATGACATTGGGAAACCCAATTGATGGCCAGCAGGATATTGCACCTAACCCATTGATACAATTAAATGATGAATTTGATCAGCATTTTGGATTAAAAGATATACCTGTTATTCCCAAACCAGACTCTAGCACAAGTCCAAGTGACAGTAAAGCTCCTGTTTACATAAGACAATTTGTGTTTTCTCCAGATGTTACTATACGCTTAGATTATGAAGGACGGCATATTGATTTGAGACAAGGTTCATTGGCTGGTTTACTTATGGGATTAGCACAGCTCAATTGTTCAGAGATCACTTTGAAACGTATTGTTCATAAGCATGGGTAAGAAAACATGATAATTTTCTTAAATGTTTTATGACCATAAATTTATTTTAGTTATTGATTTTTATAGTTTACTCGGGTTTGACAAACTATTGACATATGTTACCCAGGAATGGTTACAAGATATAAAAAAACATCAGCTTCCATCATTACTTGGTGGTGTAGGTCCGATGTATTCGTTTGTTAGACTAATTCAAGGCTTCAGAGATCTAGTGCAACTTCCTATTGAACAATATCAAAAAGATGGTAGAATAGTCAGAGGTTTACAAAGAGGTGCTAATTCATTTACTACGTCTACAGCAATGGCAGCTCTTGAAATAGCCACCAGAATTGTAAATCTGATTCAGGTTTGTAATAGTGTTCCAATAAAGGTGTTAATAGAAGGCATTTACATTTATAATTATTTTATAGAGGGTAGCTGAAACTACTTATGACATGGTAAACCCAGGACCTAGTATGCGACAATTAAGATTACAAGAAGGTAAGAAGAGAAATCGTCCTAATAAACGATCACATCCTGCTGACATTCGAGAAGGAGTCACAACTGCTGTTATGTTGGTTAAAGAAGTTAGTATTTATAATTCAAATTACTTCAATATAATACCATTGATTATAAATAGTTATATTATTTATAATCCATAGTATAACATGAAAATTAGTGGCCTATAGAATGTAAAAATTAAATTATTTAATAGTGATGCCAGAAAGAATCAACTAATAATTTTAAATCAAATTAGTTACATAAGTATAATATAAATTTTAAATATAATATTCAATATTTTTTTTTTTTTAAATGAAATGATTGTGATCCTGTGGCTCTTTATCTTGAGCATACCTTTGGTACCCTAGTTTAAATAATAAATATGCTACTGTTTATTATTTTTAATTAAAGTATTTATATAATTGTACTTTATATTGGTTTAAAATCAATGAATTCTCACTTTCTTTGATAGTCAGTGGCAGTGGCAAACATTTTTCACTAGGGAGACATAATTATTTTCTATTATCATTAAGGTATGAGGAATTAATATGTTGAAATATTATTGTTATCCCTCCACTGAATTTTGATAAACATATTTTCTCATATTATAATTATATTTAATAAAATATATAAATTATTCTTTAAATACCTTGGTTATATACCACGATTCAAAATAAAAACCAATATCTTAAATCATGTTATACATAACTAAAAATGTAGGAATTTAGCATTTTAATTTTATTTCAGTTGTCAATATACATATGGGTGAAAAAAATGTAAATATAGTGGAGGGCACTAGCCCCTTCAGTCCAGTTAATTCCTCGGTTTCTATTTAATATGTATATTGGTATGGCACATATAATAAATTTAAAAATATTAACATTTAAGCAGCCATTTATGAAATATTAAGATAAAAATAAATATACAACTCACTGATTACTATTCCAAGTTATTTTGCATTTGAATCATAAATTTTGAAAATATTATTTTTATAAAAATCATATTTTATTTATTTAATAATTTAAAAAGTATTCTTAGGTATAAATTAATATATCTTGCTATTTTTGTTTCTAAATCAAAAAATTATTTTTATTTGAACGGATGTAATTTAATATTAATGATCTATTCTTTGTTCTTTTTAGGGTCTTGGTGAAACAGCACAAACTATAGTTAGAGTGGCAAGCGAAGAGCATGAAATCAAGGGTACTGCTGGTATGGTCGGTGGTGTTATGCGGCAAATACCTCCTACTGCTCTTACACCCATCATACTTGCCAGTCAAGCTACATGTAATGTTCTTCAAGGTGTTCGTTGTCAACTGACACCGGATGCCCGTGTTGAAGCAATGCAAAAATGGAGGTGCGACTAAACATCGACTACATATCAAAGACCAAAATATTTTTATTATATATTTTCATATATTTTTTAATTTAATGATTCATTTGTGCATTTTGTTTTCAACAATCAAAACTTTTGTCTGACAATTGTATAATAGAATGTGATCACAGTATATTTTTGCTAAACTTATAGCATGTTCTAAGTGTTTTATTTTTGAAAAAAAAAACTATATTAAATGGTTAACAGTTGTACATAAACTACTGAGACACCAAATGATAAATATAGCAAAAACAAAGATGCGATCTATTATATATTTTTTTTTCTAATTCTAGTGCCATTATATTGTGGTTCCATTATTCTAAGTCTTTTAAGGCATAAGTGTTTTAATTTGTTATATGTTAAATTTTATACTATTAACCAGATGTTTTAATTTGTCATTTTGAACATTTTGTACAGAAAATAGGAAAAAAATAAAAACATTCATTTTGATGATTATGTAATTGTATTTTTTTTATTACTACCAATAGTACAACACTTGGTTAGTATATACGAGTGCAAAAAACATTTTTAATTATTATCAGTAAAAGAACTCTTGAGTTAAGTTTTTAAATGAACATGGGCATACCTCAAGGAATATTAATGTTTTGCATCCAAAAAATTTTAGTGCGCCATACCTATCTATTCCTTATAGATAACTTGGATTAATATGTATTTTTTGCATTATTAATGGTTAAAAGTATAAAAATTATGTGAATTATGGATAATTTTTTTACTTGAGCATATGTATAGCAACTTGTAAAAGTTCAAAAATTTGTAATCAAAATAGTCTTAGTGTATACTAATGTGGATCTTAAATTCCTTAACTTATTCATAACCATAACATAATTACTATAACTATTTTAATTATTAAATATTCAAGAATCTAAATAAGATAAAGTTTAGTTACTTATGCTTAACATTTAACAATATGATGTATCATTATTATTCTTCCAAGCGCATTCTTCATTAGCTTTCCATAAACCACTGCCGTCTTCAAACTGTTCCTTTTTAAAAATGGGAACTGTGGTTTTTAGTCTTTCAAGTATAAACGAGACAGCTTCTTGAGCGTGTTTACGATGAGGAGATGAAGCAGCAATCACTACACCAGCTTCTCCAACTTTTACTTCACCAATCCTTATATAGAACAGTGTTATTAGACAGGCTATATTAATTATACTTAAAATTTTAAGATAAAACTTATCAATTCTTCAAGTTACCTGTGATGTATTGCAATATTCACAACTTCAGGCCATTTTTGTCTAGTCAAAACAGTGATATTTTTCATTTGCTTTAACGCCATTGACTCGTAAGCTTCGTAAAATAATGTTTTTACTTTATTCCCATTAAAATGTTCTCTAGTTGTTCCAATAAATATTGATACAGCTCCACACTGTGGCGAGTTGACAGAACTTATAGCAGAGACAATGTCCAATTCAAAATTTACAATTTTTAAATCAATCATTTTTTTTTAACCTGATAAAAAATTCAATTATTGGAAATCTTAGGCTTATAAGAACACTGTTTTTAATTAAATTTTTCCACTAGTTTACTACCTCCACTTATTGGCGGGATAACAGCCACAATATCCTTTTCTTTTAAGGTGATTTGCAAATTATCGGATATATAATTCTCATTGACAGCTAATATAAATATATTTCCTATTGATAATAAATTAAATTGTTCTACCAAGATGGAACGCAAATCGTGTCCAAATAAAGTTTGTGGCAATTGAACAGTTGTACTCTTTAATTTAGACAATTCACGAGCTTGAGCAAAAAATATAATTGTAACATTTACCACAGTCATCACCTAAACATATACAAAAAAAAAAAATTAATTATATTTTCAAATTCTGATAAATTGATAAGTATTTATTAATTATCTTACCACTACTAGCCTGTATCAGAATTTTTTGGGATTGTCATATTAAGTATTAACCATAATTTAAGATATACATATAAATATATCTTAAATAGTGATACCTACTAACTAAAACACTATTACTTTAATTTTTATATAATCATTATTATCCTAAGAATTTTAAAACATTTAAAAATGTGAATACAATGTATTTATGAAAAAAAAAATAAAAATATATTTGTGAACAGTCTATTTTATATTATTTTCATTTAGCTTATAAGCTGTAGCACTGTTTATTAGCCAAAGGCTAAAAATTATCCATTCCCCTTATAAAATGACTGTCATCATATATTCATATCAATTAAGCCAAGTGCATTTTTAAAACTCACATTGATTTTTGTATTTAGCTTGACATTTTAGAAGTTAGCATTCAGAGTTCACAAAAATGTATTTATAATTGTGTGAGTTCATATTGTATCTATATGTAAATCCTGAATATTGTTATACAATCTAACAAACAATAATTTAAAAAAACAGTGTAAAAATAATCAATTAGTACTAAATATATACATATATTTATGATTTTAAAAATTTTAACTACAACTTTTTTTTTAATTGTGAAATATGTGAAAATACAATATTTTAAAATTTACAATGTGTTTAAGAATGTTGAATAATATAGTTTGAACTAATCTACTTCTTACTTATTGACACCCATTAGAATGTTAGCACCTATTTTACCAATTTACAGGAAGTCGAATAATGATGTACATCAAATAACAAACTCAGAAAAATCAAAAATACTATCATATAGGTACTGGCTAAACCCCACTCATTCAATTGCAAAAATGAAATAATTATGAACAGACTAGGTCCATTTAACGGAATAGGTCATTTAAAGATGTTTTATGGTCATCTTATAAGGAGAGAAGAACCAAAACTGAGCCAAACCTATGGAAAACTTCTAACAGTAAAGCATTTCCTTGCGTACTATAAAATTATATGAAAACTAAAAAAAACCTAGAAATATCCGATAATCTATTTGAAGCCCTTCAAAGAGATTGTCGGATATTCAAAAGCCTAATCAAAGCAATATCAACAAAATTATCTTATTTTTCAAACATTTTAATATATACAACTTAATCTAAGAAAACCATTGTATTCAACAATATGTAGAATAATGTAATAATTAATATTGTTGTAAGCTAATAATATTAATTGTTGAAACTTTACTAAGAATAAAAAAAAAGTGGTTTAATTTAAATTAAATTATTAGTTGAATTTACAGCTTAAATTTTATTCATTTGAATAATTTTTATTTAAGTAACTATATAAAATTATAAAATTACCTTTTAGCACTAATATAATTATTTAATTAAATAGTGAACCTAAATTAATTGTATTTAATAATATTAATAAAATAAAACATTAGAAAAAAAAAAAAAATTAAAAAAATAGTTTAAATTAAATGAACTGAAAATTAATAATGGTTAAATAATAGACATAGTCAACAATCGGTATTTTAATCTTTTATGGTTTACAATAATGTAACTATATCAATTAAGTTTTAATTTAAAAATTCACACTTAACAAGATAAGAATAAGTACTTAATAGTTATAAAAAAATCTAAAAATTGTTGTATTTACTACAGTTAGTAAATACAGTTGTTTATCACAATTTAATCCAAATACTCCAAAATGTATTTATTTATTATCTGTGTATAGTGAATTATTTTAAGTAAATAATTATATTGAATAAAAAAAGATAATCAATACTTGAATAATTTATTTGATAAATTATATTTTCATTTTTCACTACCTACACTAATAATGAATGATGAATATCTTTAGACTATAATAGATTACTTATAATACTGTAAATGTTATATAATGTACAATCTAAAACTATAAAACATACAATCATTAAAAAAAAATTAAAGTACCCTACCTTGATAAATAATTTTAAGCCCTTGAGTGGAAGTTTAAAAAAACATAATGATCTTTTATTTAATGTTTGATCATTTAATATTTGAAACACTAGACGAGAGGTTAATCTGTAGGCCATACTGAAAAATTTAAAAGGCTTCCAAAATATTACGTAAGAATGTAATATAATAGCTGTAATAATAGTAATAAACTATTCAAGAAATTATTTTATGGTTTTTTTTTTTTTTTTGACTACCTAACTAGAATAATGAATACTTTATCATAAATTCAGTGATTGCATATTATTAAAGTATATTATTATAATTATTGATAATGTATAATGTAATATTATTTTTATCATTTAGTCATGTAGACATGAAAATAAACCATGGCTATAGATTGTTATTAGGGCTTGGATTTTTTTTTTTTTTAATTCTTTAAGCATGATGTTATAACGTCGTTTAAAATAAGTAATATTCTTTAAATATTTTATAAAGAAAAAAAAAATTTTTAAATTATTCAGTTTTGAATTAATTTAGTTTACATTGACAGTTTAAAATTTAAATTATACATTTTATTTATAATCACAATTAATTAGTTAGGTAGTTTATAAATAGCTTATGAAAATATACATTATGGTGTATCCATGATGGGGGGAGTTCAGAGTCTGGGACCCCTCCCTATTGATTGATGGTATTTAAAATTTTTATTACGTTCTAACACATTGTTTAATTTTAATCGTACTTATACTTATTTCTTTTACCAATTTAAGAGTTTATGAATCAAAATATATATTGTTTTTTTAATTACATAATTTGTTTTATACTTTTTACATGTTTAACAAATTTGAGACCACCCTTTGAAAAATTTCTGGGTACGCTCCTGTGTACTATAGTCTATAGTTATTCATTATTTTCTCCAGAAAATATTTACAAAAATAAAAATATTGTTTTTTATCCTCAAATATTCTCTAAAGTATTTAATATTCTCAAATCCATATAATATGCCTTTTTATGCAAAATAAATTGTTTTTAATAATTCATGTTTTATAAATTGTAGATTTATATTTCTTTTACTTAACTACATACACTAGAAACAGTAGAATTAGTAGAAACAAACATGAAAAAAAAATTATAAAATTACAAAAATCCGTCTTCTGATAATTAAAAAGATAAGCTAAAAATGATAACAGGTCGCGACGATACTGCCACTTGCCGTGCCATACAGCAAACCTATTGCTATAATGCTATATTACAGTCTGTGTGTGCCAGACTTTTAGAAGTCAGCTGATGCGTTGTTATTGTTTTGGGAAACAGCTGACGTTATTCGACAATAGTTGATTACGCTGAATAATCGAAAGTAAACATAAAAAGACGTAAATAATGGTAAAAAGTAAAAAGACGTAATTTATTATTTAATGTTATTACGTCTCAGTTTTATTCTTTCGTGTTTGGTCAACTGATACATGATATTCAGTTTTAAATCGATTATCGATAAATTATGTGTTCACTTAGATTACTGTGAAATTGTTTCATATGTATATTGACTAAATTCTGTTGTAAAAATAAAGATAAAGATTTTTAAAGGTTCAATTACGATTTGGTCGAACCGTCACGAACACACATTGATCTATTGGATAACGAATACACTAAGTCAAATTTTCGACGACCAATTGGGGTAGGAAATTAGGATTATTGATTTTAAATACTGTAAACTACTGACTTAATGACTAATGAGCATAATACATTATAGTATCATAATTCTAATTGTTTAATATTTTTTATAGTCCAACAGCTCGAAATAGTTTCGATGGGTCGAATATTCCTTGATCACGTAGGCGGTGACCGACTCTACGCATGTGCTGCATGCGATACAAACCTAACTAATCGTGATGAATTGATTAGTACCAGATTTACAGGTGCAACAGGTCGAGCATTTCTGTTCAACAAAGTTGTAAACCTCAATTATAGGTATAGTGTTATGTCTTTATAAAGTAATAAAATGATTTATATTGATATTCACAAAATATTTTAATTTTACATTAGAAAATTAATAAAATTAATTCATTTGATTTTTAAATTACTGAAGAAGTTAATCTGTAAATCAAAATGCTTATTAATTTTTTTTTTTTTTAAGATTACCTTACTCATTTCTTTCAAATACTTTTTTTTATAAAATAATTTACATTATGTATTCAGACCGGAACTACTGATAGAGCTTTCGTGGACCACAGTTTATGAAACACTATTACTTAGGTTAAGCAACTTTTTATTTATTCAATACTTCTCCAGCAGACTTATAAAAATAGATATTTAAAACAAAACTTATATTGTATTGAATATATTATTATTCTATTAAAATAGTGTATTATATGATTATTTTAGTGATATTTTGTGTAAAAAAAAAAAAAAACCATAATTTACTAACAATTATGACATAAAAATCTAAATACTTGTAGACTTGTTATACACTGTTTAAATTTGAATGAAAGGTCATTAGAAAAAGTAATGCTTAATATACTAATTTTTTTGATTATTTATGTGAAATTGTGAATTAAAATAAAAATGTAGGTAATTAAAAATTATAAATCATAATCTAAAACTATCCAATCTAATTACTTATTATGATTGTTGTGAATGATATGATGGCTATTGTTCAATCAATTGAAAAAAATGTATTACTTAATTATACATACTGTTTTTAGTTATGTATTATTAAAAATTTTAATAACAAAACTTAACTTAGATATATATTTATTAATTTATTTAATGTTTTCATTTTTATAATCTGAATATCATTAATCTTTTTTCATAGTGATGTGCAAGACCGAGTAATGTTAACTGGTCGTCATATAGTGCGAGATGTATCATGTAAAAATTGTGACACAAAGTTAGGATGGATATATGAATTTGCTATGGAAGAAAATCAGCGCTATAAAGAAGGACGAGTTATATTGGAAAGGGCATTGGTTACAGAAGGAGATGGTCTTGAACACGAAATATAAACATATTTTGAAATTTGAATTTGTACAGATTTTTTTTTTTCATTAAAATTGTATTATATCAATCTGTAACATAATAACATTAGGGGTATAATTTAAATATACTCCAAAAATAATTTTTTTTTTAAAATTTAAATATAAATGTTTTGATGTTCCATAAAAAATACCTGCACTTATGTTATTCAATATTTTTTACACTAAATATTAAATTTTGAACTTAGATTAATAAGTTTATTTATAGTAATGTATATATTATACTGCATGATCAAAATGATTAAAAAACTTAAGGAATAAATATGTATGTATATAATTGGTACATATTATGATGTACCTATTGTACCAACTTAGCCATTAAGTATATTATCTATTAATTTATTTGTTGTAACTTTATTTTGTTGATAAAATTATTTTTCATGTACCTAATTGAGTAATAAAAATATTAATTTGACTTGTGGTTAAAAAACACAATCATGAAACAAATTCATAGTTTTGTTATTTTATGTATTTATTAAATTGGTTCTATCGTCGAGTTATGCACATTCTAAAATAATTGATATATTCTATACTCTGTATTGTTATAACTTATAACACTTATAACTAATTTTATCATTAAAATACGATTGAAAGTTTATCGAGATACCCTAGAATCTAGTCTAGATTATATAAAGCTTACTTTTAGGTTTGATAATAGACCAATTAACCCCAAAATTGGTTTGACTGAACTACCTTAACTGAATCTATTAGCAGGATACTCCACCCACATTTTCTCAGTGTTGTCGATAACTTAATATATAACATGATAAATTTAACTTTTAGAATTAGTTATGATCAATTATTTTTGATACTAGAGTTAATTGATTAATTATTAAAAAGCTAAACATATTATCTTGGGGCTCTATGATAAAAGGTTAACAATTGTAAATTTAAAATGCTCATAGGTACTTGCTTCAAAATTGAAGTACTAAAAAAAGCATAGGTAAGTGGAGCTCTTATCCAAAGTCTTTATCTTTCCCTATCATTTACCTTTGCATTTGACTGATCCACTCTATTAGTCTAGTGTCGAAAATAACAGAGTAAAACGGAGTGGTTCTAATGAACGTAAAATTACTTATTAGTCAGACGGAGACAATGCACATACATAGTACGTACAAAATCCTCTTTAAGAAAAAAAAGGGAAAAGATCTGAAAAATATATTTTGTAAAATTCACAGGACAGCGTCGTTTAATGACGACATATAGATGTACACTCGGGATATTAAGAACATGGTATTCCCGGACTTTAGCTTACGCTATAATCATGCGAATCATATTAGTGGTTCTGGCCCCCGTTGATAAATGTAACTACCTACACGAGTATTGAGTAGTCGTAAATTTGTAGAGAACTAGGGAGTGCATACATTTCTAAGAGTTTCAGATCCCAAGACTCCCTTTACGGCTTACGTCAGTAGACGCAATATCCGAAATCGGAAACATTGAATAAAATATATCATTGCACGCGAGATATGAACGCAACGTAGGTAGAGGACAGAGGCAATACCATTAGAACGTTTGATTATCATTTATTGTAATCTGGACTGTTCAATAGGTACCTGTTTAGGTTATATTTTAAAATTGAAATAAATTTATAAGTATCGACCGAATTATTAATAAGCAAGTGACATTTAAAATACTGATCTAAAAACGCGATAAGAAGGTACTGGTTCGCACGATTGAACTTTATAAAATAATGCTTAAATCTTGTAGGTATGATAATGTATCTAAACATTCTAAACCATGTGTCTAAGCTGCCTATCAGACATCCCATTAACTTAGAAAAGAAACAACACATCAAATCTATAGCGAACGTCGACCTCACCTTACTGTTTTTCTCGTCTAAACGGACAATATTTATTATAATTATTATTAAACATTTGAGAACAGAAATAAGGTGGTATTGGAAATCGTTTGTAAGATGTATCACTGTATCAGTGACATTTAATGAACTATACACGTTTGTATATTACCTACTACCTAGAATTTAAAAATTGTCTTTATTAATAAAATGTTTAGTGTATGATTTGTTTTAAACAGGAAACTCACACAAAAATTAGTAAAACAAGTAAATATTATTAAAAACAAAATAATATCTTATTTTAATTTATATATTCCCCTTTAAAGTGTTTTTTTTTTATTCTCTAAAAATTCAATTTACAAAATTGTACAACCATATAAAAACAACAAAAAAAAAAAAAGATAAAAATATTTTTAAAAACAAATATAATTATTTTTATTTTAATTCAGTGCTGGCCATTTATAGTTAAGTAGAGTCTACGTAACAATATATTAATGTATATATTATATACAAATAAACCATAGATTTGATAATATTTAATAAGTGCATCCTAATAAAAAAAAAAATAAAATAAAATAAGATGCATTCAAGTTTTTGTCATATCTATTGCAAACAACAATTTTGTGTAAATGAAAAACAAAAATATAAATTATACATTTAGTAAACAACATATGGCGCCCATTTTGAGTGGTAATATTATATTTCATTTGTGTATGTGTTAGTTGTTTTAGGTTTTTTACCTTTCACAACAATAGGTTTGCCTTGAATAATGCCTTTTTTCTTGCGGGCAGACTAAAAAAAAAAAAAATTAATTGTATTAAGTATTATCAGGTTTTAATTATTGTTAGTGAAATACTCTTTTTAATTTGTAATGTATACATAGCATAATGTTTGAACAGATTTTTTGAGAATATTTTTATGCGCTATATTATATAGATTTACTAGTATAAAATACTCCAAAGAGGTCTGTAAGTACCTTTTTCGATAAAGTAGATGCTCCAGGATTACGAATTTTTCTTTCCAGAACTGGTATACGTGGCCTATTAAACTCATCTGGTTTTTTTACCCTGTATATTCTGACCAACCAGTGTTCAGTAGTGTACGCTTCTTCCAAATAGGTGAGATCAAAATTTTGATTACCAATGACTGCGTTACGCGTACGATCAAACCCAGCAGGTGTTCTAAAATCCAACTGTAAATCACAATATAGTTATATTTTTCAATAGACAAAAAAAAAGTATTCATGCATACCTTCAAGTCTCCAAATCTATAGTAACTAAGTTTATACATAAGACAATTGAGCATAGTTGGTGAGCCCTGACTGTCAATTCTAAATTCACCTCGTTCAGTAAAATAATCAGATTCCTAGATAAAACCAATTTTTTAATTTAAAATCAATAAAAAAATAATAAGTCTCTAATTATTTTTACCCTTATGTCTTTTGGATGTTCGCCTTCAGCAATCCTAACCATCCATAAGAATTTATTGATATCATCACCTGAGTATCCAATTACACCTCCAAATATAACAAGAACATAATCAACATCAAGTGATGTCATAATCTCATATGCTTTTGGCTCGGTTGATGACATCGCTTTTCCAACAAGTGCTATATGACTATTGTTCCAAGTATTATTATCAACTAATGTTGTGCGATTTGCCATTCCAGCTATTTGATAGCCATAATCCCACCAAGACATAATACGAGCATCATTGTCAGTGTTTTGGGACAGCCAATAGTAAGCTTCACGAAAATCATCCAATATTTGACGAGATCTAATCAAACAATTATGAATAGATTTTATTATTTTGGTATGAGTTGCAAAGAAAAAATAGTTATTATTTAAAAATATATATTATAGACATCTTACCCGTCATTACTGAATGATGCTAATACAATACTAGGACTAGAGTATGCATTACTGGTGACCCATGTACAGTGAACAACAAACATCATTAATACGAGTAACATAGAAATAGTTACAATACTTCTAATATTTGATCCAACACCTTCTCCATTATTATTATCATTGTTTAATGAAGCAATTGTTGGTGGCTTCTTTTTACTCTTTCCAGAGCCAGAACTTGATGACTACAATAAAATAAATAAGTTAAATTAAGTGTAAAATACAATTATTCATTAGCTTTTTGTCCCAAAACACCACAACATTTTAACTTTGAATAATAATAATAATAATCAAACAATTATAACAGAGTTAATACTAAATTTATTTATACAAATTTCTTTCCAAAAAGCACGTTATATTTTTATTATTTTGATTGACAATACATATTTTTAATTTCATATTTCAAAACCAAAATTTATTTGAGATCTTTTGATTTGTAAAAATCAAATTTCAAACAAGTAGTTTTTTAGTCATAAGTATTTTAAGTTTAAATGAGCAAAGTAATAGACAAACATTTTGCAAGGTGTTTTCATCTAAACTTTTAATACTTATAATTCATTAACTGTAGATTAAAAATAAAAAGATATCAAAAAATAAGTATATAAATATAACAAAAAGTATATAAATAATTAAATAAATCAATATTATTACTTGAGATGATTTAGAAGGAGTCTTATCCTTAGCAGGCTGTTTTTCTTCAACAGCTTTTGTTCCATTATTAGTTACTAAACCATCTTCTTTTAAATAATTTTCAAAAATTTTGGAAAATGCAATACCACTAAGAATGCATACAGCTGGCGTTAAAGTTAACATTAACCTGACCATAACACCAGCAAAATAAACAGCACTCAGAGCATATAAAACCACTAAATAAAAGAAATTAATAAATATTTTGACTTTTGAATAAGTTATTATAAATTTATACCAAAAAGTCGTTCATCGTTATATTCTTGAATACAATACCATAATCCAGCAGGAAATATACAAACAAGTATATGGAGATCAAAGAAAAAGCTAAACCATGTTGTTGGTTGATGCTCAGATACTGATGCGATAATTGGAATATGTATCTTGGCATATGTTGTATCCCATAGGGAATAGAATCTAAAACAAACAAACAATAATTATATCAGCATAATACAAATATTTTTGAGATTGAGATATAGTAACTTGAGTATTTTAGACATTAAATTAGATTGTTTGTTTAAAAAAAATGAATGAACATACCTTCCACTCCACGGTGCAATGACTCCAGCCCAAGTTAAACCAACTACAGCCAATAGTACAATACCAGACGTGACTAGTGTTGCGAATATAAATATAAATTTGAATTCAGCTTTAGTGATGCGAGTTTGAATGTAATTAAATGCCCCAGCAGCCATGACTAAAGCAAATACTCCAGATGCTGCCATGTGCTCACTAGTCCTAATTGGTTGAAAACCAACAAAAGGAATTTGCATACTCAAAACCAAACCAAGTATGTAAAAAACAGTGTAACTTGTGAATAAACGATATGAATAACGGCCCATAATCAGCAATAAAAAAACATGAAGGGGAATCAAGTTAATAATGAATACATATCCACCCCAAGCTGATACCTAAATAATAAATAATTAATTACATTTTTAGTATTAATTAATAAATTATAATAAATCTTAGACAAAGTCAGACAAAAAAATCTGGACTCAATTTTTTAAGGCTGGAAAAAAGTAAAATAATTCAAACTAATCAATTCACTAAATTAAAAAAAAAAAGTTGACTGATTTTTTTGTATTGATTATAATAATTAAAATATAAAAAAAAATGTATATTTTCAGGCTTTTTGTAAGACTTAAAAAATGTGGTCAGATTTTTTTCAACTAAGTCTTTATGTCCTCAGATTTTTTGATTGATTACTATTTACGACTTACCATATAGAAATAAGAAAGAGCAGTAAGCACTGACCAAAAAACAGAACCAGTCTTGATAGATTTCACCTAGAATTTAACATATTATATAGATTAATGATTAAATATTTTTAATTTTGGTATTATATATAAAAGTTTAAAGCAAAATAAATCAATATGATTATTTACCCAAAGATAATAGGTAAATTGTAGAGCAAATATAGCAATTCCTTCATTGTCATAGCTCCCAGCTACTGATCGGCTAATATAACCTGGTACAATTGCAATGAAGCAGCATGCAAACAATCCAGCACCTGGAGACCAAAGCTCTTTGGTCAGGAAATATGTTGATATTGCTGTCATACCACTATAATATACAAAATAAATAGTTAAATATTAAAAATATTAAACATTTATAAAAGTATACAAAAGAGGAGAAATACTAGTATTAATTTATAATAAACAATATTTAGTTTAGATTTAATTCAATCGAGTTTGATTGGATATATTTTAAGTGTACAGTACACATTTTATGTATATTTAATTAATAACAAATATTGTATATGTTTGTAAAGATCATAAAAATTGTTATTTTTGTGATAGTATGATAAAATTAAAAAAAAATTATGGGTAACTATACCCTAACTCAATTAACAAAAACTATATGTTCAATAACCATAGTATAGATGTAATTGGATTTTTTATCGAATTAAAATTATTTAAAGTTATACTAGTTACAAGTTGTACATGTGAACGAGTATTTTTGAAATTAAGTATAATAAAAAATAAATAAAAGGAAGAGAAAAATTCACTAATACCAACTGGACAATCTATTATTAATATTTACTGAATCAAAACTAACATCTACAGTTGATATTTCCAGGTAATTCATGAATTTATAGTTATTGAAAATAGAAAAATTTATAATATTTCTTTTATTATGATTGATATATTATAATAAAATAACAATGAATATGTTAAAATATTATGTTCATGTACTTCAAAACGCTTATTTAATTTTTGAATACTGAGCTAAGCTTTTATTTAAAATTTTTATTTTTAAACGTGATTAAATTTATATTTATTTCATATGATTTTAAAGAATTTAAAATTTTGTTTTTAAATTCAAAAATATGTTGACACATACAGATTCAATTTTATTTTATTAAGAAAGTATTAAAAAAATGTGGGGGAACTTCCTAAGTGTTAGGGCACTAGTTTTTCAAGACTTGATAGAAATTTAAGTCTGTACATGCCTATAAACAGATAGGCTAGATATTTATAAAATTTATAAATTTATGTTTTAGTCACTACCTACATATGAAACTACAACCAAAACTACCATTTAAAATAAAATCATTTTGTATAAACAGTTTTAACAACATTATGTTTTAAAAAATTTAGTTCGATTTAAAATTGAAAATATAAAATAGGTAAATATAATAACATACTTTTACTAAGTTATTTTTTTCTGTAAAAATAATAAATATATTTTTAAAACATGAAAAAGATCAATTTAAAAAATATTAAGAACACTAGTTTTAGCAATCTTTATATTTTACCTGAATATGGGTGCCAAAAATACGCAAATATCTCTGATATGTACAGGAATATTTAACGCATGTAAGACGTGGTGTATTGCACCGGACGTGACCATCAATCCTGGATAGACCGTGCCACCAACAATTCTGCCAAGCGGATACCATGCTCTTTCATCAAACCAGTTCAAAAAATTATAGAAACCATGTTCAACCATGTAAGCTGTCGCACGGTAATTGAACCTGTAACACGAGCAAATCGTGGTGGTGAATTAACGATGGCACGAATGCTGGGATACTATGTATTTATGTAGTTCTGTGACCATAGGCGGATCGGATCGCTGGTACTCACCACGGGTCGAATTCGTGGATGATGCTCTCGAACCGTATAACGGCAAACAGCCTGGCAGAGAATCCAGACACCCATGCCAGAAAGAGGATGGCGAACGTGATGAGACTTTTCCATCCGGCCGGGTTGGTGAGCAAAGTCTTCATATTAACATTAGGGTCCACGGGATAAAAGTTTATTTACATCGATCGCGATCGTTCGATGGGACAAATTTCACGTACCGCAAAACAAAGATTATAGGTAACCGTCCACCATCGTTGAATACTATTTATGAATTATAATATTATAAATTAATTTTCAACTTCACGGTTTGCGGACCGGAGAGTTGGCTCTAATCTCTACACGTCTATACTATAGTTATAGCAGCAACGCTATTTGAACACGTATACGTACAACATGAACTGTATAATATTTATTATTTACCCGTAAACAGTGCAAGCCGGCAACATGACATCACCATTTGAGGTTAGAAATCCGCCGGATGAGTTGGCAAACGCTTCATCCTATGAATCGTCACTGACAATGTTATCACGAACACAACATCTTATCACTGAATAAATTGGATTTTGTTCCTGAATTTTGGATGGACTTATGATCCACAAAATTAAAATGCATATTATGCGTTTTATCTGCAACTGTTATCAACAGCTGTGATCATCGAAACGGATAAAGATAAAGTAAATAGTAAATACTAAATACATCACAGCTGCGGGGCCACTGCCAGTCTTATGATGTCGTAATGTCGAGGCTGTCAATGTGTATGTTATATATCGTACCAGATTGTTGTGAACGATAAGATAATGAACCACAATAAACAAGATTATTTAAAAATGTTAAAAGCGTAATTTTAAATACAGTATTTTTAATTTTTGTAATATTCCGGTTTGTTATAGATTTTTTTACTGTTTTCAGAGTTTATTTTATTATTTAATTTTATTTATACACATTTTTCATTCCGATGGAGACTAATAAAGACAAGAGACATTCCATGGGATCCGAACAATTTAATAGGCTTCACATAACTGCTCCTAGAACGTTTTCAAATCAATGTCATGTATTAAATAAAGGAGCCATAGATTGGTAATCATTATTTTCAAATTGTCATGTTTTTACTTCTTACTTCTTAAGCACTGTGTTTATGTGGGAATATTTTTGTTAGTTTTAAATTTATCTAATTTAAATTTAAGTTGTCTGAATGTAATGTGTTGAATATTTTAATATTAAATAATATTAGTTAAATCATTTTTTAGGTCTGAAAATGGACTTTTAGCTTATGGGTCCAATTGTCTAGTTGTAATTGTTGATACAACCAAAGTCATTCCAGTCCAATGCTTCACCGATCACAAATCTTTAATTAAAAAGGTTAATATTTTTTCAAATTTTATCTCCTATTTATTCCAACTATATTGAATACAATAGTTTTTAGTTAATGAGTAACATTTCAATGTATTATTTAATTACTTTTAGACATTTTTTTTCAGCTTTTATGGGTTCCATTTGATTCTGTATCTGGTGCATCATCTGAATTAGTTTCTGCAGACTGTGCAGGTGATATTGCATTATGGGATGTTTGTCGAGGTCGATGTATCTCGTGGATTGACTCAGAACAATCAAAACCAGTTAATGGTAAGATGTTTTTTTTATGTGATTGTTAATCACAATTTCTTACATTGTTTAAACATTAGGACTTGAGTGGGTGCCATCTTCGTTAAACAATGATTTACTATTGGGAGTTCTACATGCTCCTTACACATTTTCTATAGTAGATGTGCGTAAAGGTACTCGACTATGGAAAAAAACATTTTGTGATACAATCAACAGTTTTGCTTTTGATCCATTTCACTTAAATAGAATTGCTTGTAAGTTGTTCATAAGTTATTCATTTTGAATTTATTATACAACAAGTTATATTTTCTAGTTTTGTGTCCAGAATGTATATTATTTTTTGACAACTTTGAACATAAAACAGCACTTAGTGGTAATGGCCGTAAATTTTATATATCAAATACTGCAGCCGGTGAGAATTCGACTGTAAATGAAGAATCTACTCGTCCTAGAACAAGATTCAAAAGATTGATGAAGGGTTTAGTATTAGGAGAAAGTCAACCTAAGTGAGAATTAAAAATATGCCTTTTAATTGTATTTTTGTAAAATATGAATGATATAAATATGTATTTTTATTTTTATAATATTAAGAATGGATCCTTCATTGACGGTTTCTGAATGTATTCAATTTGCATACCACCGTGCACTACGAAATCATATAATTTTAATGTATCAACATGATATATTAATTCTTGACCTATATATTAGTATGACAGTTGGTGTTATCAGTATAGATCGCTCTTTTTCTCCATTTTGTCAGGTAATATATTTAAATGAGTTAATTTAATCACAATTTTTTGTACAATTTATACTATTTTTAGATGTATTCTTGTCGACAACGGGATATTATATATTGTTTACAAGAATCTGGAAGTTTGTCATTGAAATTAAGACGTAAACCTATAGCTAATTATTTAATGTCTCCCATGGATGCTTCTCCTGTAGCTGTAGCTGGCAATGGTAATTTTATGTGAGTGTATGTAAATAGTATATCATGCATTATTTGTCTTATGTTTTAGACTCATCTTCTGATACATATTTGTGGTATGAACATAGAATACAAAGTGAAATAATCAGACAGACAAAAAATTCTAAAGTACTTGGTTTAGCAGTTTGTCCTATTACTGAAAAACACTGTGGTTTGTATTGACTTAAAATATACTTGAATTAAAAAAATTAGAATTAAATTATTTTTTTATTATTGCTACTTTTTTTTTTTAATATAGCAATACTATTAAGTTTGGGTAAGATAATGTTTTTTGAACTTGAGAAAATTATGACCGCATCCAATGATGTTTCATTTTATCTTGGACGACGTGATTATCATAAACTTACATTAAGTAACATTTTTCCATCGTTTAATGATGTAATTAGAATAGAAGTAAAATATAAGCAAATTTATTTTTAATAAAAATTTTTATGTTTATAGAATCAAGGCCTAATACCAAAAGTACGTTTATATCCTCGAGGAATGCTTCCTAGTCTTGAATCTACTTTAACTGTTATTAAATATTGTCCACCACTAACATCAGCTACAAGAGCTAAATACAAACCTCTTTTAGCTGTAGGTACAAATTCAGGGAACATTGCAATTTTTAATTTGGCTACCGGATTAATGTTAAAAGAATATCATGTACATTCTCATCCTGTTAGGTGAATTATTTATAGTAACTTAATGATAATATTTTAGTTTGTCAAATTGATTTTAAAATCATGTTTAAATATTATATTAGAGGTATTGAATGGATCAGTCAACGCTATATAATTTCTTGGTCATTTTATTCATATACATTAAATACTAAGAGTCAAGTTATTGTAACTGATATTCAGTGTGGACAGTCTACGCCTGTTCGTATAAATAAAGTAGATGAGCCGTATGTAGTATTTGTAAAAGTATCACCCTTAAAGTAAGTACTTGTTGTAATAACATGAAATCGCATTTTATAATTATTTTGTTTTAAATTCTTAGACAGTATTTTATAATTGGCATTAAAGATGGTCCAGTTGAAATTTGGGATTTAAAATCAATGTCGTTATTAAGTAAAATGTCAAAAAGATTTCCACCGGCTGTTTGCATGGTAATTATTTTTATTTTATTTTATTAATAATTAATAGTTTTTTAAACATTTTTTCATTTTTTAAGGAATGGGTTCAATGTAACATGTCTAAAGGAAAAAAAAATAGTATTACCACCACCATACTTGAAGGTACATGAATATAAAATATTATTTATTCTAAATCTAAAATAAAATTGAAAGAAGCTCATTAAATTTAAAATGTATTATTATGATTAGAGAATGAAACTGGATCAAAATACCCAGAACATTTATTGTTTTCTGACGTAGCAGGCAATCTTTATGCTTTTTTAATTGATTCAAATAGTTTTCTGAAGCCTGGTACTATGATAGAGCCTGGAGTAAGTTTTACAAACTATTATTAAAGAATGATTTATTTATTTTTCAACTATTCCATTAGATTTTATTAAAATCTCCTGTATACCTTACATGCAAGTTGAACATTGCTCTTCAAGCAGACAGTGATGGTAATTTATTTGTGTGGGATTTAAGTAACCAGATGGACAAACAAAAACAGCATATTAATCGTTTGGAAATTCGAAAATTAAAATTTGCACCTGGTGCTGGAAATTTCCGATTTTTATGTCTATCATCAGACGGCATTGACATTTTCAATGTTTTTGGAGTGAGTTATTTTTATACTGTAACTTAGAATTACAGTAATTGATCTAATTACCTGTATATAAAATTAAATGTTAGAGTGAAGTGTACAGTATGCACTCAATAGTTATAAGCATGTGTTATATATGCATGTTTTTTTTTAGTCTCCTCAATCCATTGAATTAATTTCCACAATGAAAATGGATAAAAAATTACAAGTTGTGGATGCTGATTGGGCTAGTGCTGAACATTCTGTCATCATGTTTAATGACCATTCTATTAGAGTATTTGACCTAAAGCTTACAAAGTCTTATTCTTCAATATACAACTATGAATTTGATGGTATTTTTATTAATATTAAAATTATTATCTATATTAAAAATTATGTTATTATACTTTGGTGTATGAGAGAATTTAAATGTTTTGCGCATGTAGACTGACAGCAGTGACCGATGTTGACCAATGCCAATGTTGTTGGTATGTCTAATGAGTGAGTGATGCATCAACTTGAACATGACTTTACTCCTGTGCTGGATTATTATTACTTAACTTATAATACATTTATTTACAGTGTGTATAATGATTATTTGATACGTTCTTATGTAATTTTATTATATTTTCCTGATGAATCTTATTATATTATATGCATTGTGTATAAAACTTAATATATAACTTTGTTTGTTTCTCATGATTATTATTATTTTATTTTCTAGATTTACTGGGACCTCCAACAATTCTAGACCGTGATTTATGCAAGATGTTCTATTTTTGGCTTTCTGCTACTTGTAAAAAAGTTTATAGCACAGAACTTGGTTTTAATAATTATGAATTATCTTGTAAATAAAAACAAATTGTTATTAATTATA